ACACAGGCCATGTGGCCCTTGCATCCTCTTTTGAAATTTATCTACTTGCGGGTTGGCTGTGGTAGGTTCAAAGTATTTAAGGACATACTATCGGCCAGACGATTACAGTTTGTGTAAATAAATGTTCGAACAGTGGCAGCGCGTTTTTCGAAAATTGAGCACGGGCAAAGGAACTCTCTCGCTGAAACAACCTATTCAATTACCCACGTACACTCGAAACCTCCTTCGCGCCTCCACTTGTAACTCGGGCACAGAGTGCGTTCTCCTGACCACTCCAACTGCTCCTCCGAGAAACGACCTTTCGTCCATTTCTTTTTCTTTTTCTTTTTTTTTTTTTTTTCAACCATCGCTACGGAAAAAACGTGTAAAGAAAGAATCCAGTTGGCTTCGTTTCAAAGTGTAGAGCCTCCATTTTCGAAGCTCTGTGTCAATTACATCGACCACTTTTTTATCCTCGAAAATTGTCCAGTCGTTGAAAAAAAATTTTTTTTTTTTTCAGACTAAATCCGCCATAATCTTGAAGATTGAATCCCTCAAAAAATTGCTGTACGATTTCTTTTTTCATCATTTTATTGAACCTTTATTGAACTCTTTAGGGTGTTTTGAATGACAAAGTGTTAGAGTTTCTGGAATTTTTGTTGAGTAAAGAATTCAATAAAATGGCGGGTAAAGATCGTACAACAAGTTTTTAAGTTTTGGTTTTAATTTAGATCCAGTCGTGAATAAAATCTTTTCAACCTCAGCAGGCATTTAAATATTTGCAATGTTCATTTCAATCGACAACAAAAGTGTCCCTACTGCACGATGCAAGAAGAAAAAGTACTCGAGGTTAGTAAGGTAGAGATTTTACTTTGCTTTAAAGGAAAAGAACTCAAGATTGGTAAGGTAGAGATTTTATTTTGCTTTAAAATCCACTTGATCTCTACACGAATTTTGTTTCACGGAGTTTAAACGTCGAGTGTGTGACGTTTGAATTTTTTTTTTTATACAAACTAAACCAACACAAGAACTAGGAGAAACCTCTTAGGCTACTTTTATTATACGATATCCTACAGAGTCTTTAAACTACCTCGGTGGAAAATGGAAAAAAAAATCGTGAATAAGCCACGATTCTATTGTACAAGCAGGTATAGAAAAGTCCAAACCCGAAGATATTCGATCTACGCTTCTCCGTTGACCTGCTCGCGTCGAAATATACAAGCATCACGTGGAGCGAGGGAAAGTCGAGAACATATTAAAACTGTCGCTGGCATTCGTGGTAAGCCATTTCACTCGGTTGGGACACGCTGGATACCAAGCCTTGCTGCAAGCAAGCTCTCAACTCCCCCACAAAACGAAGATTTATCGTTTCATGGTTTTAGTCTGGTATTGTGCGTGAGTGCACCGACGCGTGAAAAAAAAAAAAAAAATTTCCGTCTTTTTCTACGAGAATGAGAGTTTTTTTTTTTTTCTACGGTGTCGATGTTATATTTATTATTTATCAATTAAATCCATTAGAAAACTCGAATAGTCACCTGTAACCTTGGGTTACATCACGCATACATACGCATAATCTCGAGTAATTCTGATATTTTTCGTTCGAAACACTTCTTAAAGATCGAACGTAGGAACTTTTTGGAACATCTCAACGCGTTTAATATTCTCGTGTCGTACATTCGCAAAAGTATATGTATAAGAATTAATAATTGCCAATTGCAAAGCATGAAATTTCCATCAGAGATATATTAACACATTGCCGAAAAAAATTAATCTTCGGCGAAAGATATTACTTGATGTGGCTCGATAAAGATCGAGAGGGAAAGACGACGAAAATTTTGTTTTAAGAGGAACAAAAGTATTTCAAAAGATAAGGAGATAATTATTCTATGATGCGTAGCATTCAGAATACACGATGTATCGTACTAGAAGGGTAAAAAGAAAAAAGAAAAATTTTGTAATACAACAGAGTGCAGAAGCTTCTATTTATACATTTTACGAAAAAAAAAAAAACATTCGAATCTCTAAAAATACACCGTCTAAAACGTAAAGTTTCGAACAAATGTTACCATTTTTTACCATTTTTACCATTTTTACCATTTTAATCGCTTTTTGATTTTCTCGAATGTCCGCGTCGTGTCGAAAGTTTCGAAGATACTTATCGACTAGAAAAGTGTGTGACTTATAAATATATACGTACATTCGTACATGGATAAAGGTCGGAACCCTGTTATCGAGGTCCATTTCACATTTTACCTACTTTCTGATTGACGTGCCAAACGTGTAGCATTGCTATTACTCGCAACACAAAAGGAGATAATTCATATTTCCATTATATATATATATATCACTTTCTACGGGTTCACAGCGATCGAATTTAAAACACGTGTTTAATCCTCGAACTTGTAGATAGCGATTTCGTACATGGACAAATTCTGAGAGATCGGGAAGAATCGTCTCACTGGTTTCTCTTCTTCGAGGCAAGTGAAAACCAAAACATTTCCCAACGTTACAGAATTGTCGATTAATTGCATCGAAATCCCCAAGATTATCACTCTATGTACTCTAATTTTTTACACCTTCAATTAAGAATGTGAACATCTCGCACGTACAAAATAGGCACATTCGCGAAAGAAAAAAAAAAAAAAGAAAAAGAATGTTCCAACGTCGAGA